GGAAATATTCAAGTCTTACTCGTGTCTATAAGAATTCTAATTCTTACTGATATCATATGGATTTCAGGATTGAAGTTGTGTCTTAAGTGCTTAAATAATTCTATGTAAATTTATATCTAGCGCAACTTACCGGCTCGCGTAAAGCCGGTTCTACATTAGTTGCAAGCTGATCGCAAGTTTGTTGCCAATATGAAGCGTTGATTTCAAAATACAAACTTTAAATGAAGCTTGCAATTAATGTAGAACCGGCTTAAAAGAGCACGGTATAGTATCTTGCGCCATGTTTTAGCGCCGAAACCTACCGTGTCTCCAGATATTACTTATGCGGTCATTTAAACTGCATGCCGAATTGATTTTTCGGATTTAGAAATGCAATTAAATTACCGTAGTAATATCATAAATTAAATTGACAAATTTAATAATTTCATGGGCATCCTTTAGAACAGGCCTATTCAACTTTAGCTCCGAAACGCAAAGTCATTGATGCAAAAAATTCAATATAGGTAAGATTGTGGGGACTGTGAATTATTAATATGCGTCACTGAAACGTATATCAATAATTTACAGTCCTCGAAATTTTATCCACATTGAATTTTTTTGTAATTTTTTGTAATTACAAAAATTGCAAATTCACTACAATATTTATAAATAATATTAAAGGAACTTATTAGATCGTGAATTATATGTAACACAAAAAATATTAGAATATTTATTTATTAATTTTATTTATCACACAACACCTAGTGAATTTTGCTCACTTTTGTATTCTTTATCCCACTCCAAAATACAATCGATCTCCAGATCCAAGCTAGACGTTGTTTTCTCGTTATTCGCGGTCAACGGACTGTGCACTTATAATGATCATATTCCAAGAAATTTAACTCTTCAACTCCTCCAAGTATGATTACAATGAAAGGCCGGAAACCTTGAAGGATTGAGAATAAACAAATGCAAAAGCTTATCCCTACTCCGTCATTCCTATACAGTCATTCCTCTTCGTGACCTTTCGCGTCTCATTTGAGTTATTGAAAAAAAAAATCGTGAATAAAGAGAGACGAAAGAGAAGAGCATTGACTTCAACGGAGGAACCTTGAAGAAGACGGAACAGGAACTCAAGGGAACCAAGGCGATTCAGAATTTCTCGTTCGCCCATTCTGGCGATTCGATCTGAGGCGCCCTGGCAAAAATAAAAATTCAAGCATAAGTCGAATGTAGCGGAAGTGACAGAAGCTTCTGAGACAAAAATTGAGACAACGAAACATAAAAGAGATGTTTATGCTTCTTTTACGTTTTATTGTCTCAATTTTCGCCTCTTAGGAGCTTCGTTTACACTTCTGTCACTCTCTTTACATTCCGCGCTTAAATCTTCATTTTTAAATGATCATCGAAAGAGGATCGCGATCGGTTTTTAAATGTTTAGCACGCACCTTGACTGTGATTCCGGTAATAGCGGCGCTCGATATACCTTGCGGGAAGGGATATATTATCGACACTGCGGAGAGAGAAAGAGAGAGCGAAGAGTTACGAGCATAGTTCTCCCTACACCTACATGACACGGTATGTACGTGTATATTTAAATAGCGTTCTCAGCCTCGGGGCGAAAACGCAAGGCTGCGGCAAGGTCTCGCGGCGCCATTACCGGTGCACACAACCGAGAGAAAGCCGATCGAGCCTCTCTCTCTTTTCCTCTCTCTCTCTCTCTCTCTCTTTCGCGCGCGCGCGCGGGTAAAATAATTTTATTTTCGTGCCGAGAGATAAGCGCGTACGCTCCATCGAGTATCCCGTCGAAATATAAGGGCGCGCCGGAGAGAACAGCGATGATTCATCCCGAGTGAGGGCCGCGCGTTTAGAAAAACCAAGATTCGAAATGCGACGTCGAGCTTTCCTCTCCCGTCCCTTCCGGTTTATCGATTATGTTGTTCTCGTGGTGTTCTATTTTCCTTATTATTATTCACCGAATGTTAAATCCTTAAAAAATATAATTAAAAATATAATACTAATTTATTTACTTTTTTATTTAGTATTAAAAATATTATTATAGTATTAAAAATATTATTTAGTATATTATTTTATTTAGTATTATTTATTTAGTATTAAAAATATTGTTAACAATATTTAAGTAATCAATTGGCCAGTACTAGTATTAAATTTCCATAAAGGAAGAGGATAACATATAACCTGGGAACGTATTATTATGTTCAACGATTGGATTTAATTAAATTCAACAGAGATAAATCAAAATGTGTTCTCTAAAACTTTAAGACCAGTATTCATAGTCGAGTCTTATATTTAGGAATGTACATTAAGATTAATTATATTTAAGACAGTCTTAAGATCGTCATGAATGAATCAGAGGATCGTATTAATATCTTAAGACGGTCTTGAAGTAAGAACAGATATATAAGAATATATAAGAACTATAAGCACACAATATTCCTAGAATGTTATATAAATATTACTTACCCTTTTTAATATTCATGTAACATTCTTAGAATATTGTGTCTTACAGGACATAAATATATCGATCTCAAAGTGAATCTTGCTCTTAAAGATTGAACTCCTCTTTTTCAAAACTGACTCAATGCTAACTCTTTAGAGTGGGATTTCATCCCAGAATTTAGAGAATATTATATTTAATTACATTTTTGCTCGAGTCATGGATCCTCCAAGCATCTCTTGCGCGGCACACATTAGGCGATTAGAGAGGGGCGTTCGAGCCCTCTTTCAGCGCCTGTTCGCAGGAAAACGGAAAGAAATGTCTCACGCACATCTCACGACGTTCCGCGCTCCTCGACTCTCTCCGCGGATCGACTTCGTACACTCGGAAACTGTCGAAACGATGCACTCGGGTCGGACGTCGCGACGCGAACGTCGACGTGCATGGCCCCGTCGACGTCGTCACCGAGGACACGACTGTGCCGGAAATGTCGCCCGCAACGCGGCCCTCCTCATATGTACGCGGTGTCCTAGGTAACCCACCGTCGGAGTCCGCGCGAATACCGTGCGCGCGCGCGCGGATCACGTGTACCGAAGAGAGTATCGGATCGATTTCTTCACCTGCCTCGACACAGAGTTTCTCAATAATCTGCGTTTCTTAATACTTGCAATCTTATTCGCACGTACGAAGCTTGCAATTAAATCTGCAAAAAGGTCTCGCATATCTAAAAAGCGGAATGTAGTGAAAAGCTCCTGCTTGCTGCATTCTTTTCTTTCTCCCCTTCCCCTCTCTCTCTCTCTCTCTCTCTCTCTCAAAAAATAATTTTCATACGATAATGAATAGAAATTGATGAAGTTATAAATTGATCGCTGTAATGTTTTTAAAATATCTAAAAAATGGAATTGATCAGTTGAGTTTTTGAAAAATTCATCTCTCTCATTTTTTTGTCTATGTTTGCTAATCTACATACATATTATGAATTTATACTTGGACGTTTTTTTCTTACCTTTATTATCATGGAAACGTTCTATTCTAATTTGCGTATCTATATGTATACTTGAGCTCGCCTCGTTCAACTTAAGTGTCCTATATTTTCTGTACTTCAAAGAATACAAATTAGAATGTAGAACGTTGAAGAAAGAAAGAGAAAAAAATTGCAAGCAAAGTTCTTTTAAAATTTTCTCGAAACGCGTTGTTATTCCATGATGTCGCGCGTTAAAATTTGATTAACGCACGATAACAATGCTCGATATGGGTACCACTGGTAGACACAACGATCCAATCTGTTTCCGTATTTAGCAAAGCACATTTATTCCATGGCATTACTTCACCCCTCGCGAGAGTATACTCATCGTATTTAGATTATATCGATTGCCGTTGCGCGTCATAGCTTGACCTACTTGTAACGTTGGACGTTTCTTATATATTATATATACATATATACATATATACATATATATATATATATATATATATATATATATACACACACAGCGAGGCACTTAACCCTTAGTTCTATGACGAAAAAGGTTATTACGTACCACGCTATTTGGTCATTGTACTGATTCCAAGCTGATTGAAAAGGAAGATATTAACTGTTACGTCAATTACGTGTATAATCTTGTAATGAAATAAAAAATGTGTACTTTTATTAGTGATGAATGAATGAAATAAGTAAAGAATGGAAACAGTATTGACTTTACTGATATAATTAAATAATTAATCAGGCATCTTTATAAAATTCAGTTTATTGAAGTAGAATATTTAATATCAATTTTAAAAATTATTTCAGTTTTACTTTCTTGTATTTTACTCTTATGGTGAAGGAATATAAGAATATTTGATCTCGTAACAGAAATAAATGAAACGAAAGATATGAAATTAAATATGCTTTCTTACTCCGTAATAAAATTTATAATAATGCATTGAAGACTTCCATGAACATTGTTAAGTTATAACTTTGTTTTATAAACTTAAAAACTTATACTAATTATTTAAAACGAAATTCAAAGTTTTTAATAACACCAAAATAATCTTTTCATCAAAAGAATATGTTCTGTAATCATCCAGAATATTTTCTTATAAAGAAGTAAATTAAAAGTAAATATTAATAACGATCTATAAATCGTAATTTCGTTAAGCACTTTAAAATATGTCAAATGTGTAATCAATAATACACGAATAAAATATATTTGATTAAACGTAGCATGCAACAACAGAATAATTATTAATAATTAGTTAATCCAATAAAACCAATGTCAAAAGAGACTATCTCAAAATTACAGTTAAAACCGTGTAAGCTGACATCAGGCAACTTTCAGCGAAAATTTATATTTGACACAAATCTATTTGCTTAATACAAAACGCACTTTTCTTTAAATTAGTCATGAAATTCAGGAACTTGTATGATTGCTCATTCAACGTGGAAATACCGCGTTAAATTTTTGCATTTAAGCGCTATAATATATAAAAAAATATATAAAGAAAACAATACTAATTAATAAAATATTAATCAATGCACAATAAAACCTGAACGTAGATAATGCAATAAAAACTGAGCAGTTTATAACTGTATCACATTTAAGGAGCTGCGTGATTCTATGCCTTTGCAGATCTTGTTGTGCCGCGACAACGTAAAATATACTCGCATACGTAGAAATAGTTTGATCAGGAAAACAATTGGGAAGTCCGGACAGGGCGGTTTGTAGTCGATTTGTTGCGCGAGCTGCAGCATCTGTGCTCCGAGATTCTTCTCGATAGAAAGTTTCTCGAAATTGCGCATGAACGTGTCTTCAAGGCTGGAAACGTAGAAATGGAAAGAGCTCGATGTATCTCTGCTGGACGAATTACTCTCCTTGGTAGCATAGGCAATGCATATGTTGCAATTAATGTGTACCAGCAAACACTCGTTGAGCAAAAACTCGCACACACGCTTAAACGCGCTTCTCTCAGGCAGTCGCAAATCGATGTTGCGATAATTCGTTGCCGAGATGTTCAAAACTACTTGAGTAGCGGGCGGAACCTCATTAGCTAAAGAGGACGCCGACGGGGTTGACGCTGTCTCTATTCGCTTGAGTATCTTCTGTCCGTTCACGGCAGAATCGCCCCCACTTGAATGCTCGAGGAAGTGCTTGCTGACGAGATTCTTGAATGCGTAAGTAAATAAAATAGGCGTGGGCCTAATGCGATTTCCACTTTGTCGTCTAATAGAACGAAAAACGCGCTCGATGCTCTCTAGATTCAATCTTCTTGTGCAAAGGGAAGGGAGTTGATGCTGTTGCAACACATTCCACAATTGAATAACCGCGTTGATCGTAATCTGCCAATGATCGAAGCACTTGATCGATTTGATGCACGTGCCATTCCTGTCCACTACCTTAATCGACTTCAAGAAGTCAAGTGTCTGCTGCAAAAAGCTCATTTCATGCATGTTACCCGTGAAAGTTTGTTCGAAATTCTTAGTATTCGATTTGGTCGATGCAGAGGAATTAAGAATGTCGAATAACTGATCAAAATTGTGTATAAGCTCCATCGTGCCGATCATTTCCAGAGGTAATTCACCGGATGCAATGTGCGCGCTTAAACCTGCAGCTATGCTACCACTGAATATTTGAACAGCGTACTTAGTTTCTATCTTTTGACATCCTTTGGGCTCCAAATGACTCAAAGACAATTTAGGGGCCAATGGCAGTCGCATCTGGCTGTCGCGCCTGAAGAAGAGTTCGATATCCGTCCACGAGGCTCTTTTCTCGCGGAAGCGGAAGTCATGAATTCTGAACACGTTTCTGGTCGTTCTCATTAATCGTGTAACATCAAAAACAAAAAATACTCTTTCGTTGTTCACCAGGAATGACGGACGTTCCGCAGAGATCCCTAGTAGTCGTGATAGTCGCAGAAACGTTGGTGATGTATTGGTAATTAGAACATGCACGGTCACATTGATGCTCTTCAATCTAATTATTACTTGGAATATCAGATCCTTCAAGATATCGGTGTGATATGTGTTGCTATGAAAGTAATAGGCGATGGGCTGTTCCCAGTCGCCAACTAAACTACACGCCATTATCACCAAAACTTTTCTCGCTAACGTGCGCCGCTTTTCTGTACCGGTATCGTGGAAACCGACGATTTTGTCGCGCGTCAGATTGTAGAAGAGATGTGGCCTAAGTCGCATTTCTTTCACAGACAGGGAGCAATGTCTTTCCGTTGACGGCAGCGATTTGATCTTCAAACGCAACGCATTAAGCACATTGTCATTCAAGCCGGGCGGCATATCCCAATTGCGGATGTGTCTCCACAATTGACGCGTTGTAGGCAGCAAGCACAACGGCCGGTAAAATCTGTATGCACCTGATGCCATGAAGAATAACTCGAGCGCGAGTTGCTTATCCTTAAAATTCTTTTTAGTCTTAGGCTTCTCGCAAGCATTGATGCACGCTGAGACTAACATGGCGGAATTACGTGGTAGTAAATCTGTACACGCCGTTTTAAATTGATCCATGTTCAGACGATTATCTTCGTTTTCCGCGTCGAATGTTTTCCTTCGCTTTGTGATCAAACTGTCGGCACAAATCTCAGATTTTTCCATAGGTCTCTTCCCTCGAATCCAAGCTTCTGGTGTCTGTGTCGAAATATTCCAATGTCTTCTTTTTGGTGTCCTGTAACATTTAACAAAATTTATGTTTAATCTAATAATATCTTTATTTTATTGTTAAATTAATGTTTTTGTATATTTTAGTGAAATAATCTGACGTTAATCGCTGAAATAAATGTTTACCAAATTTTAACATTTTTACTAATAATATTAATCCTTGATAATGATATTTACTTGTCACCATTTTGTTGCGTTGTATGAACTGATATTGTTTTTGACGATGTTGTACAAATCGATACTGTTTTTGATGGTGGTGTACAAATTGATATTGTTTTTGATGGTGGTGTACAAACTGATACTGTTTTCGACGTTGTTGGCATTGGAGAGTCTATAGACGTTAAATCTATAATATCTCTATTTAAAAAAGAAATAACTTTCTGTATTTAACGGTTATAAATGACGCTATATAAGTTGAGATTGCAAAATCGTAACTTACGAATTACTGTACTCTTCTTTTGGAAATATTCGCGCCAATGTCGACACTGCTTCCGTATTCGTATCTATTTCTTTAATAAATTGTATTTCCGCGGAAGTATTCCTATTAATAGAGTGCATTTTTAATACTTTTATTTTTTCCGACATATTGTAAATTAAGACTTCATTTACATTAAATTCTATTAGCAAAACAGAAATAAATAAGGCAATGCTAAATATTAATTGAAAAGAAATGAGTTAGATATCCTTTGAAAATAATATATTCAAACGCGCCTAATTGACTTTAATACATCTAACATCTCTACATTTCTAATTCACCTGTTATCATTCTCTTTCTTCACGTCTAGCAACAAGGTTTGAGCCGATGATACATTTCTGATAAAAATTAAATATATTATTTGTTATAACACAGAACATAAGTTAAAAACTGAATTAGAAACACAATATCAATATTAAGGCAAACAGAAGTTACCTATCCTCATATGTTTGTTTTAAAGAGGATCTTGGAAAAAGTGCTTGTACTGGTGAAATTATGGCTGTATCTCTACATCAAGAAATTTATTTTTATTCAATAAAGATGATCAATAAAAAATATAATACTCATGCAACAAAACGGAATTTATTATATCTGTTATAGATGTTGTATATATAGTTATATATGTATATATGTATATACAAATTTATTTGAATCCTTTATATCATAAATAGATTATATTATTCTTATAACAAAAAGAAGCTCACCTTTCGTCAGGTTTCATGGGATGCGTTTCAGATACTTCAGATTGTGATAAATCTGTAGAGTTTCTGTAAAAGAATTGCATTATATTTAGAAACTATTTTACTCCTTGAGCGAAAAGTCAGCTGAGAAAATTCAAATAGAATTTGCGAACTTACCTATTTCTGCTCTCTGGTTTCAAAAATATAGTTACAAAAGAAATCGGTTGAAACAAAGTCGTAGACGAATTACCACTAAAAAAAGAGAAAGAAAAGTTTCATTTTTAATTTTTCTTAAATTTTTAAACCTGATAGTCTCATTTGGAAATTATTTCTAGCAATATTGTAGCAATATATCTGTATAACTGTACTAGAAACAGATATATAAATATAAATATTTACTTACTCTCCTGTTTGTTGTAATGGTTTCAAAAATATTGATGGCACAGCTTCTTTACTAAGATAAATTCTTCCTTCTATATTTCGAAACATTTCTACTCGAAAATGTAAATGGCATATCCGATAATATCGATTCGCAAATTCTGGACCTATTGGCACCAAATCCATTCTATTGCATGCTTTAATCCATTCTAACCATCTAAAATTATATAATTTCAAATATAAATCTGACAATAAAAATATGATGTTATATATCAACATAAATTTAAAGATATATTCAGATTTATTTCATATATAAGCACAAAATTAATTTTCAAAGAGTATATATAATAAAAAAAAAGATATTTAAATTTATACATAATGTATTATCTAAACCTCATGTCTAACAAATACTAAAAATCAAAATCAAAGTCACATTTGAACAATTCAATTAATCAATACGATTTGCTAATTCCTTCTCTGTCCAAGATCTCAAATTCTTTCTAACATCAAGATCACAAGGTTTTATTTGGACTGGTTTGAATTAGATACAAATACCTTTTCCTATCTTTTGGAAATCGAAAGAAATGTCGTCTCATTATTTTTATATTCAACATGCAACCTGGTGCAGAGCACCAACGAGTGTTAGTTCCAGTTCCATCCATTCTTTTTAATGCAATATTATTTAACACACTGCAATTTACTTTCTACTTAGATACCTAAAGAACAAATATAAGTTTAATCAGCAAATGTTTTTGATCTTATATTTTGTACATTAAACAAAGTACATTAACGTTTTTAAGTCTGCAAGTTTTGTATTAAATGTTACAAAAGACTTAATTTACAAATTTCAAATGTTCTCATCATGGTATCGTACACAATGTTACTACATAATTTTACATAACATGGCTTTGAAATATGTAAGCAGCATGTACCTGTAAAGATTTGTTTCTTATATAATAAGAATTTAAATTAAACTAAATTTCTTATAAAAAATAGTTTAATTAAGACATAAAGATCTGCAATATTATATCTTAGAAATAACAATGATGATAAACTGCTCGTAATATATATTTATTAATTTTTTAAAATATAATTCATTAATTTCTTTCTATTAAGTAGTTTATATTACGTTTCCATTTTTTAATTATTTGGTTTATTATCATTACAACAAAACCCAAATTCAATGAACTATCATTCAACAATTTTTCACAGCTTTGCTTACTATTGTTTATCTACTTTTAGATGTATGTACAATGTACACAAAATCTGTCTGTGTAAAATTGTTGTAAGTTATTCATAAAATTGCTTAATTAATTTACAAACCTTATCTTACAATAAGTTTTAATTTCCTGCACATACACTGCAATTTGTAAATATTTGTTCATCCGTGTCTTTTCATACCTTCCATAAATGCGGCGAGAAATTTTAGAAAATGTTTACCTTACAGTCAAGACAGTAGACACACCTCAATCATGAAGTTAAGATTGATTGATTGAAGAAAGATTATAAATTCTCTATAACAACTCACGAGCGATAAGTTCTTCAATTTTCATAAACAAAACTTGGTACTTGTTTATTCTCAAGTCTCTTACGCATTCTGTCGATACACAAACGGCTCTTCATTTCTCGAGTCCCCCTTTCTCGTGGGAGCAACTTTTCGGAGATAAACAAACGATCCGTTAGATGAACCGACACGACAAAGTTAAAATGGAAGTGTATTCGGAGGAAAAAAGGCGAAGGAGAGAAATCACAGAAAAGTATATGGAAAAGGAATAATGTCCATCACGTTTCTTAACAAACGAGAAACGAAAATTTCGCGCGAAGCGATACGTGCGTTCATAAAAAACGTCAGCTGCAGCATAATAAATTCGATTGGTTGACCTCGAGTTTGTGTACGATTTATCAGCCAATTGCTATTCTTGCTGAATCGCGGCAATTTCAAAAATGATTGTGTCTTTTAGCACGCGCATAAAAATACATCGAGATCCGAAATGTTTAATTTATCGCAAAAAGTTTCCGCAAAAATCCTTCGTTAAAAATTACATTGTTATTAACATCAACGTATCTTTATTACAATCTTTACATATTTACTGAAAAAAATAATAAAATAATAAAGTACAAAGGATTTTTAAAAGAGATACAGAATCGAAATATTATAATAATTTCATTCGGGAATATTTTCTTAATATCATATATACAAAAGTATTAGATAAATATCTTTCTATATTATATTGTAGAATAATATTTTATATATAGTCATAATATAAGTTTCGTACGATTTGGATGCTCATATGCTTCAAGCACTTATAATCATCATTCCATCTTTGTATCAGATATATTTGATGTAAAACATATCTGGATACACTGAAAATGTCCAAATCGAACGCAGTTATAATCATATATTGGATCATCTAAAAAGTATCCGCGGTACTTTGTCACTAGATATATGACCATCAACACACATCTAGTGACAAAAAACCGCGGATACTTTTTAGATGACCCAATACAATAGATATGACTAATACTGTTTTCATCTGTGCTTGCCATATATACAATACATATGATACAGATATATGTATACATACATTAAAAATATATAATTACGGCATAAAATCTGCGCTATATGTTCTCGTACTCAAGAATATACTAAATTTCAATATAGCATCTATAGTAGACTCAAGTATTATTTCATCTTCAGTGGACCAACCAACGGTGTCCGCAGCTAAAATTAAATAAAAAATATATTAGTGAGAATGTATTATAACGAATTTGATAAAAAACAAAGATAAATCAGATAAAAAAAAAGAAATGTAGCATATATCAGAAAGTAGCAAGTTTTGGATAATAACATATGATACTTTTATGACGTAAGTCAACATCGTTCTATCTTTCTTGGTATTCTATGAATAACAAAGATAGAACGATATTTATGTTACCAAATGGTAAGTACTTATTATCTTTTCTTGAGATTAACTATGTAACATTTGTAATAAAATGAAATCCTACATATTATCATATAAAGCACTCTACCAAAATATTTTTATAGATTGTATTAGACAAGAAAGCAAACTGTCTGAAATTAGTACATAAATATTTTTGATGTTCGAGAGATGTTACCAAAATAGATACATCGTTATCGAGATGTTATCGAAATAGATTAATCTTTTATAAATTATAATATTAGTATCTATTTATGTTTAATTACGAAAATAGAGATAATATAAAATAATATTTATGTACAGATAGATTATAATATTTTGAGAACATCACATGGAGTGCGTACGATAATTAACAAAATATAAATATGTTATAATGTAAATATGTTGATGCAGACCTTAATTAACAACTATCAATTATTAGAAATTTGAAAATTTTTAATGTTAGTAATATTAATTTTAGTGATCACATACTTAAATTACTAATATTAACTGTAGGTGGTGCAGAGAATAGAGTAACGCATGTTTTCTTCAAGAGCTTACTCTCTAAACATCCCAACCTGACCAGCATCTGCAAAAAATTATTTTCACCGAAAGTTAGCTCTTGTAATAATATCAAAAAGAAAACGTATACAGATTGTATTATTTTTCAATAAGTTGTAGAAACTCTGTAGTACTTATATCTAACATAAGATCTAATGGAAGTCTTTCTTTAAGAGTGCAGAAATGATTTATCAATTTGTAAGTATATAGACAATCAGTAAAACGTACCTCAACTAATTCACGTGTATGATAGGGTTGTAGAACGGGAATAAATCTGCTTTGCATTTTCGCCATCGTGAGTCCAGGATGAAGCATGCAATAACTCAGAACTGCACCTAACATTCGATCTAAAACTTTGCGATTTAGTACGCCGTCTATACGTATCCATGGTCTTATTGCAACTTTTATTTCTTCAACAGTTCTGAAAGAGAATACAGTTCAATACCATTTTTCAAGAGGTTTCTGAGAAAACATTTTTTTTTATTCGTATGTAATTTCATACGTGAAATCTAATTGCTGCGCTGATTTATACACATCCTTTTGTGGAAGTAAACGTGTCTTTTGCTTATGCATTCTTTTTCTTGTACGTAAATTGTTTTTCTCGCTACCTTCCTTCTTCTCATCCTTCTCGTTAATTATGTCATTGTCCGTTTTCGTGTTTTTTTTTTCTTTGCTGTCTTGATTCTCCGATGATGTTGAAGGTATCGCATTATCTATTTCGCCTGCAATATGTTTATTCTAAATATTTATTGTTAAAAAAAACAATATATATATAAATATAGATAACTTAATCCATTTAATAATTCAACAAATCTGAAAACGATTTTTTAGTACTGTCACTTTTGTAAACTTTATGATATCAAGAAACATACAATGAAATATAGTAAAGCATAAAATATAAATTGAATAAAATATTCTGTGTGATAAAAGTTTATATTTCAATAAAATTTTTCAAATGAAATATAGAATTTGTAATATCAAATCTTATTTTACCGTAATTATAAACAAAAATTATATTCATTTATTTATTAAAATAAATATTTTAGCAAAATATAAAATTAAAAAATATAATATAACTATATTACGTTTTTTATTTGCATCTTTTTCATTGTCGATATCTTTTGCATCCATCTCAGTGTTTGTTTCAGCTATTTTCCCTTGATGCATTGTGGAATATATACTATCCTTAAATGGCACTAAGGATTCTTGTTCAAGACGATATATTTTACAGGAATTAATTAACCAGGGATCCACATAACGATGATGAATGTACCGTGGTTTGATGACACCAGAGCGTACAAATATACGATTTTCTGTTAAAAGCGAAACAATCTTGTACAAATTTTCTCCTTGTTTATTGAAGAACTCATCCTGGACAAGGCAAAAGAAAAATAATTTTTTTTAATAACTAAGTTAGTAAAATATTTTTAGAAGAATTGCTGATTTAAAATGCAAAAAATCGCTAGAAAAAAAACCGTTAAAAATTTATCGTTAAAAAATATATTAAATATAGATAACTAAATCCATTTAACAATTCAACAAATCTGGAAACGTGGATTTTTTAGTACTGTCATTTTTGTAAACTTTATGATACAAAGAAACACACACTGAAATGTAAAAAAAAAATTCTCTGGTGGTGGTGGTGTGTGTGTGTGTGTGTGTGTGTGTGTGTGTGTGTGTGTGTGTGAAAAAATGAATTACCAGCAGCTCTTGCGAACAGACACCGATTTCTTTCTTCTCTTGAACGAACTCATACACAGCGTCGGCATATTTCCAATTAATTGCTGCAGCTAATTCTTTGTTTTTCGTTATAAACTCGTTCTTATAGTCCGTGTAAGAAACAACGTTCTTCGGAAAAACTGCAGTCTGATTTAACTCGCTGAGAAAATCGTTTACAGTCTCGATCTTCAGTGGTACTA